CATACCAAAGAAAATATCAAGACGGGTGGAGAAATTGGGAGAAAGTTAAGTTCATCTATGTTGAAAAAAGAAATAATTGATCAATCATTTGAATGCCAGATGATGGCAACAAACTAGTTTTGTAGAGAATGAAGACAAAGATAACGAATGTGTAACAAATATGCAACTTTATATAGGCTTGAAGGAGAAGGGATAGAAGGCGAACGGTCATAAACACGCATAGTAACCGAAATTGAAGGTCCACATCTTGGAAAAACAAATCGGAATACCAAAAGTTTTATTCCATATAAAGATCTCACAAGGGGAAATGTGCATGAATATAGCACGAAGTTAGTAATTAAATGTTTGGGGGGCGTTGATCATGCTATTTCGGAAATCTATGCAAAGGCCATCACACAAGTAAGTAAAATGGTGATTCCATTAACGAATATAACTGTCATTACATTATAGCCAATAATGTCTGCCATCATGAAATAAAAAGAACCAATGTGAGACGTAATCGTCCTACAAGAAAGCTCAAAATATATTTACAGCCTGCCCCAAAGAGAACGCATTTGTTCTCTAAGCTTCTCCCACTCGTTACGCTGCTCATCGGAAGAGGTAGACAGTTCGGTCATAAGTCCCTCATCGACGTCCAGCTTAGAGTACCGCTCCAACAAAGACTTGCCTCGCTCAACCTCCTGGGAAGCAGTACACTTCTTAGCGCCAATCTAGCCTTACAGTCGTCCATTCTTGCTTAAAGTGCCTTAATCTCTGTAGCCAAACTCATCATCAAAGAATTTTCGACCTTAACTTCAGAAGAGAGTTCACGTAAATTGCTTTTGGTCTTCTCAAGCTCTTGAAGCAGAGACTCCTTTTCGATTACAACATTGAGATACTGAATCTTCTTGGCCTTTAACTCAACATTCTTGGCTGGCAAAGAGCTTATCTCAGAGTGGATAATCTTTAACATCAGCCTAAAGTCGGATGAAATTTTAAGCGAAGGAAGCTCAAGTGCTTGAGCCATTTTGGCACCTAGAAGATCAAACGTTTCTATTTGGTTGGAAGTACTGGCTTTCTTGATGTTCATATCCATGAAAGAAACGTACTCAAGCACTGATTGCTTGAGAATGTTCATGTTTTCCTTTGAGAAAACAACTGATAAAACGGAAGGATGACTGGCTGAAGAAGAACGAGAAGCTTTGCTTGTCTTTACTTGTTCACAGGAGGCAAACAAATCCTAAATTGAGAGCAAAATGGCATCAACATCTTGTAAAGAAAAATGCAAGTANGGTTCTAGGTCTAGAACCGAGAACTAAACCAAAATTTTTCAGTTCTTCGGTTCTCGGTTTTTCGGGTTTTTAAGTTAAGAAAACCCGCTCGGTTCGGTTCGGTTCGGTTTGGTTCGGACATTTTGCCCAGCCCTACTATCAACTACAAGGAAAAGGGCAAATTGGCTTTAGTCGCCTTCCTAAATGCATTGCTGCAATAGCAGGCAAATGGTCCAAGAAGCACTCCCAACAAGCAATTGTTTCACGTCCAGAAAGGAGTGCTGAGAAGACCTTCATTGACTAAAGAATATTTCCTATATCTCCCATACCAAAGAAAATATCAAGACGAGTGGAGAAATTGGGAGAAAGTTAAGTTCATCTATGTTGAAAAAAGGAATAATTGATCAATCATTTGAATGCCAGATGATGGCAACAAACTAGTTTTGTAGAGAATGAAGACGAAGATAACGAATGTGTAACAAAGATGCAACTTTATATAGGCTTGAAGGCGAAGGGATAGAAGGCGAACGGTCATAAACACGCATAGTAACCGAAATTGAAGGTCCATATCTTGGAAAAACAAATTGGAATACCAAAAGTTTTATTCCATATAAAGATCTCACAAGGGGAAATGTGCATGAATATAGCATGAAGTTAGTAATTAAATGTTTGGGGGGCGTTGATCATGCTATTTCGGAAATCTATGCAAAGGCCATCACACAAGTAAAACGGTGATTCCATTAACGAATATAACTGTCATTACATTATAGCCAATAATGTCTGCCATCATGAAATAAAAAGAACCAATGTGAGACGTAATCGTCCTACAAGAAAGCTCAAAATATATTTACAGCCTGCCCCAAAGAGAACGCATTTGTTCTCTAAGCTTCTCCCACTCGTTACGCTGCTCATCGGAAGAGGTAGATAGTTCGGTTATAAGTCCCTCATCGACGTCCAGCTTAGAGTACCGCTCCAACAAAGACTTGCCTCGCTCAACCTCCTGGGAAGCAGTACGCTTCTTAGCCCCAATCTAGCCTTACAGTCGTCCATTCTTGCTTGAAGTGCCTTAATCTCTGCAGCCAAACTGATCATCAAAGAATTTTCGACCGTAACTTCAGAAGAGAGTTCACGTAAATTGCTTTTGGTCTTCTCAAGCTCTTGAAGCAGAGACTCCTTTTCAATTACAACATTGAGATACTGAATCTTCTTGGCCTTTAACTCGACATTCTTGGTTGGCAAAGAGCTTATCTCAGAGTGGATAATCTTCAACATCAGCCTAAAGTCGGATGAAATTTTACGCGAAGGAAGCTCAAGTGCTTGAGCCATTTTGGCACCTAGAAGATCAAACGTTTCTATTTGGTTGGAAGTACTGGCTTTCTTGATGTTCATATCCATGAAAGAAACGTACTGAAGCACTGATTGCTTGAGAATGTTCATGTTTTCCTTTGAGAAAATAGCAGATAAAACGGAAGGATGACTGGCTGAAGAAGAACGAGAAGCTTTGCTTGTCTTTACTTGTTCACAGGAGGCAAACAAATCCTTAATTGAGCACAAAATGGCGTCAGCATCTTGTAAAGAAAAATGCAAGTATTTAGCACCTCATTACAGTGAACGAAATAAAGATGAAAGATAAAACAAAGGCTACCTCATCATTGCCTTGGAAAATTGAGGCACATCACTGGTAGATCCAACAACTTGTAGAGATTTCCCTTTGTCCGAGCGAGCAGACTCTTTCACAACGGGCAGCTCTAGGGAGGTCTCTGCCATAATCAAGTGATGATGAGTTAAAGGCCAATAACATATATAGAGGAAAAGACTACAAAACATGTATTACCTGTTGATTCAAGGCATGGGGGGTCAGCTCCCTGGGAAGGTGGACATTCTCCGATTGGCTGCACAACCAAAGACTCCGGGACCATGACTTTCTCCTTTGGCAAAGCCCCTTCGTCAGATGACTCGGACGAAGTAGCTTTGGTGGAAGATTGTAGAACAAAAGCTGATAATACTAGAGCCTTCGAGGGAGAAGTTGAGCTCTTCTGGAAAATTCAGGCAAAACATTAACATATGGAATATTTTCTCATAAATGAACAAACTTGAATATCTTTCTCCTGACGATGAGAGGGGCATCATCATCATCGTACAAAATTGGCGACGTTGAGACTGGCCTTTTGCGATAGGAAGTACCTTGGCAGTACCAGCTTAAGCAGATGGGGAACTAGATGGAGGAGCAGGACGTTTAATATGAGCAGATGGGGATTTTAAAGGAGAAATGGGATTCTTAATGGAGACAGGGATGGTAGGAATAAGAGAAGTGGAGGTAGTCTCTGGTCGTTCTAGCATATGGAAGGTACGGTTAACATCAGTTGTGAATAGCCTACACTTCACAGATGGTCAAAGTTGTTCAAAAAGAGGATGAATAGCAAAAGCGAGGTTGAAAGGGGTTAATGAGAAATCATTTGTCAAAAGAGTATTACGGACATCAATGGCCTGTGCCTCTATCTTATTAATGGTATGAAAATGGTCTATTAGGCTTTCGGAAAAACAAGGGGGAACTGGCCACATTTGGCCAAAACCAAGCTGACGAGCAAAAAATTGGAGAGCATATATCTCAACTCCGACCTTGGCATTTGTTTCGGTTAAGATGTCGTGGAACAATTCTTTCCCAATCAAATATTGGGCCCAAATGGGCAAAAAGGTGCTCACATTATCTATAGTAAAAAGAGGATGCACTTAGTTTGGGATTGAGTGAGCAGGGAAAGGAAAAAGGAAGAGATCGAATCCAAGTTATAAAAGAATAAAAAAAGTCCCTATTGAACATACTCACAAGGCTCAATTGGTTGATGGCCAGCCCATAACAGCTGGCAGATTGAGGAGGAGTGGACGGAGCACCAAGTTGTGAAAGTATGCTTTCAACTACAATTGAGCGAGCCAAAGAGGCCCGTTACCAGTAGGAGATGCACCATTCCTTAACTAGTGTTGGAGGGAAGCCATGCCTCTATAAAAGGCGACTAAGAATAATGAACAAAGATTTAAAGACCTACCACGCGCTAATTCATATGCTATGGGCAAATAACTCATGGAAAGCTTAAGGCTGGGCACACAAAGAATATATTTACGAAACTAGACTTGGAGAAAAGCAACATGCTCGGCGTGAGTAGGTTCAATACCGAACTTATTATGAAGCTCATGCATGCATGAGTAAGAATCAGTAAGTCTTTTCTCAAATTTTGGGGCAGCGCTAGTAACCAAAATAACGGGAGAAATAGTGTTGTCCAAGGGTGGAAGGTTTACTAGGGCTCCAACGTCCCTCAACGTAATAGACATTGGACCAAGCGGGAAAACAAAAGTAGTATACTCAGAAGACCAAAAACTTAAAGCGATAGGGAAAAGTACGGCATCATAGATTGGGGGATGAAGAGCGATTTCTAATAAATCTGAAACCCTATCACGATCAAAAATTGCTTTAGTAGGACCATGATTCACCATACGTGCATGTCATCTACGAAAAATAGTATCAGTTTTGGGCCAAGCACGAATACCTTTCTCGCGGATTGACTTTAACGGCAGAGAGTTCAGAAAATGAGGATCTTGAGTACAAGGGAATAGCTGGCCCACTGCCGTTTGCCTAACCGATTCAACATCATTAAATGATGGGCCTAGGTATAATTCATGAAGGTCGGGGTTGGCTAGTGAAAGGGAAGCCGGATTAATATACGACTTGGTGAGGAGGTTTTGGAAATCTTCAAAACTAAGAGAGTTGTCAAAAGGGCTCTGTGAAGTCGCTATTTGCTGCAAAGTACAGTCTTCATGAAGGTTTGTGAAAAGCATAGTAGAGAAGCTATAAGATGAACATGTTGACCTATGGTTGATCATGACCTTAATGTTTTGATTATAACAAACAAGTCCATCTTGTTTACTAACAAATTGAATTGAGTGTTTAACTCTTCAAAGTTATAAAGATAATTATTCACACTCAAATGAAGTACAAGTGAAGTTTAAACGATCATTCAAGACAAATCACTCGAGACAATAGTGATTTGCA